TTTTCCCATCTGCTCTTTTTTGTTTATATATATATATATATATATATATATGATTAGGAGTTTTTAGATGTAACCACTACTATTTAAGTATCACTACCAATTATTCAAGACTCAGACTGGGTTGGACAGTCTGTCGGCCGTTCTGAGTATATAGTTATATATGTTGGATTTGGCTTGGTTGGATTGTAATTTGAGATTTGAGGGGTTCAAATTTAATATTTTATAAAATTATTTTTTAAGCATTTTTATTGCAGTTTTAAAATGTCCTCACCTTAATTTAGTAGCTTGAATTTATTTATTTAATAACTTAACGTTTTAATAATAATTTTATAATCAACACAAATGGTAGGGAAAGTGGAAGTTGGTGGTGAAGAATGCTGCAACGATTATCACACACCAAATTGCGATGATAATGGGTGCAACACAAGATGCCAATCTAACTGTAGAGGTGGACAATGCAAAATTAGAAATCAATTGCACTATTGTCATTGTTATTGTTAGTTTCATGTTTCATTATAGCAATTTCTGCTTCAGCCAACTATTTCTTGTAATAATTAAAAAATGGTAATAATAAATAATAAAATGAACAAGATGTAGGGCCGTCTACCTATTTCGTGTGTCTATCTCTTTCATTACAACACCACCAGGCTAGTGATCGACTAGCTATTATTTTGAAAAAGTCATAACCCACACAATTATCCAGCAAGCTTCTACCAAACAAGGATTTAATCTAAAAAATTTATTGCTGAGAGATGCATGTTATTGATTTATTCAACCAACAAACATTGAATATAATGCAATTCTATCTATTCAGTCAATCAAAAATTAAATATTACTTTATATGCACATTAATGAAACAATCTGTTCTAATGTTTTCCTACTAGCTAGTTTTAGCAGTCCGATTGAGAAGAACACTTTATTCAGCTCAATTTTCTGGTTAATAACTTATTCAAGAATTTGGTTATTAATAAAATACAATAATATCGTATATTTTATATAGTCAACACTGCCTAGTGGGATAATACTACTTGTATTTACTACTATCACTAGACTTTATGAAATGTATTTGTAAATATTGACTTGAAAGCTTATATAAAAATACTTTTAAGAGTACATAGATATTGTAAAATGATGGCATCAAGAAATTCATATAATTTATATAAAAATACACTCAAATACGTAAACATGTCAACGTCATACTTGAGCCTGAAGGTTCATCCTTGCATAATGGACACCTCTGCCACTAGAGCAACTTACCTGTGACCTCTCTCTCTTTATGTGTGTATGTGGAATCCAAGGTGACATCATAAATCCATGTAGATCAAACTATACAAATTATTCTTGTTTAAAACACTAACTCCAACATCACATTAATTTCTACCATCTCACTATCTTGATTAGTATGTTCCATATAAAAAATATTTAATGCTCCTTTTTAAAATGTCAAATGCCTTATAAAAAGAATTTAAAATATTTTCAGAAGACGCCCTATCTCAGCGCTGGTGATTTGGATGAACACTAAACCCTCTTATCACAACTGCTTACGTTAGTAAATGGAGAGAAAAATAGGAAAAGAAAAAAGTAGAGGTAAAAAGAGGAAGAAAATAAAATCTTCTCTATGTAGTAAGTAGTAAGAGAAAATTAAAAATAAAAGAAAATGAGACATGCGACTGAAAAAACATTCCCAACACATAACGGGTCATGTATATATTATTCAAAATTAATTCCTAACTATTACAGAACCTTGTAATTTGATAAGAAATCTACACACACCACATACAACGAACTGAGAATTAATACCACGTTGCATCACAGTATTATAAATGGCCACCCAATTAGCCATTGATGTACACAACATTACTCTCAAATTAAGGATTCGCAATGACTTCTGCAAAAGCTCTCCGTCTCATGCTTTTCATCGTTTTCATATTATCTTCAGGTTTGCTTTACTTCCTACTTCTTTTTCTTGATATGTATGATTAGTAGTTTGGAAGCAGACCTTCTCCTTTTCTTCTTCTTCTTCTCCTCTCTCTCTCTCTCTAGTATCTTATCTCCATTCTTAGATTAAAGGTTCATATTAATATCTATAAAACTAGTATTATAATATTGGGTTGAGGTGCATCCAACACTCTGAAGTATTTTCTTGAGTGCATCCAGCACCCTAAGGTTTTTTGTGGTGCATCCAACACCCCAAAACATTTTTTAGGAGCACCCAGTACCTTGAAGTTTTTTTTTTTTTTTGCCTTGGTGCTAAATGCACCAAAATATATTTTTGGGTGCTAGACTAGACGCACCAAAGAAAAAAAACTTTGAGATGCTAGATATATTAAAAAATACTTTACAGTACTGAACACACCTAAAAAAATATTTCAAGATGCTGGATGTACTATAAAATACTTTAGGGTACTGGATGCACCTGAGAAAATATTTCGAAGTGTTGGATGCACCTTAACCCTATAATATTTTGCAAACAAATTTTTTGATTTTTTCTATACTACAGTTATGAACTGCATCGATCAACTTCTAACTGTTTAAATTTATTTATTTATGTTTATAGTAATAATTTTATAATATTAAATTTAAGCAATCCGTTTTTTAATCAAATAATCGGTATGAGATCTTGAGAAGAAAAAGAAAAATGAAAAAAAAAAGAGAGAGAGCCCCAACCTAGTTTGTTTATAGACTTTTGGAAAGACCATGGTGCCAAACTAATTAGTAGTAGTAATTTATTTCAAGTTAATTTGTATAATGATCATTTATATGTAAATTGTAGGGGAAGTGGAAGTTCGAGGTGAAGAATGCTGCACCGATTATCACACACCAAATTGTGAGAATGGTGGCTGCAACACAAGGTGCCAATCTAATTGCAGAGGAGGAGAATGCAAAATTAGGAATCAATTGCACTATTGTCACTGCTTTTGTTAATTAGTTTTCTATATCACCATGGCACGTTCTACTACAGCCAACTGCCATTCTACACAATAATTAATAAAAATGCTTTTAACAATTAATATGTCGGATTTATCTATTTCATGTGTCTATCTCTTTCTCTACAATACCAAGCTGGTGGAATAATATTGTTAATAAAAACGCAATTCAACTCGCATAACCATCTGTTTTTGCATTTTTAGGTATTTATACGTGTTAACTCGAGTGATAGAGAAATTGGCCTCTCCATTTTTCTTTAATTTTATTTTCATTCACTTCTCATCTCAATCATTAAGATTATAATTTGAACAGTCCATATTTCATATTATATAAAATAATTTTATCTATCTCACCTGTCTATCTCTTTACAATACCAAGCTGGTGGAATAATTGTAAATAAAAACGCAATTCAACTCATAGAACCGTCCGTTTTTGCATTTTTAGGTATTTATATCGTGTTAACCCGAGAATAAAATCAGCAATCAATAGGCTTGGGAGAAATGACATCGTAGTTGTGCTGTGAAATAATTTTATGTAATATTTTTTATTATTGTTTTAAATTAACATCGTTAAAATTTAGTGGTTTCATTTTATTTGTTTTTAAAAGAAATTTAACATTTTCATGATCCTGCTTTTTTGTCTTGGTTGGATATTTAATACTTCTCATGTCCTTAATATAAGACCCAATTCTTGAGTTGGTTTTGATCCTAAATATAAGACCTGTTTCTCATATTTATCAATTTTCTCTAAATTATTTCTATGGATATTCCCTCAACCATAATCAAATAGAAGAGGAAGATAGGATATTAAGAAAGATGATTATGGTGTTTTAAGAAAAATGTGTCACTTTTCTTATAATTAACTAACTTACCTAACGTCCTTAATCTAATCAAATTAGTTAAATGGATCTTATATTAAGGACTGAAAGAGTAATACCGATTAATGTAGGCGCATTTATGAATGAAAAAAAAAAATGGTTAACGTATTTCTCCACACACACACTTGATGAGTGAGAGATGTATTTTATTGGTTTGTTCAAAGAACAAGTATTAAGTGCAACTCTATTCAATAAATAAAAATTAAATACAATGCCGTATTTACAATGAACGAATATTTTAGGGATAATGAACTTTAAGTCTCTTAAATTTGTCTTAATCATTGACTTGGTCTTCAAAATTTAATGTTTATCACTTGAGTCCTTGAAATTTCATAGTCATGCACAATTAGTTGTTACAGTATTATTTTCCTCACATATTATAAGGACTAGTTATTCATAATTATGAAACTTTAGGAAATTGATTGATAAAGATTTCTCGGACCCAGGCAATAACTTTCCTTCTTTGTTGTTGTTGTCTTTTCTTTCTTCTTTTTTTTGGCCAGCGGACCAAGGTAACTAAGCGCAAAAATGAGACATCAAAAGTTTCATTATTTACAAACAAGTGTTACTCCAAGTGGAAAGAATTTAGGCATTTTAAATATCATGTCTTGGGTTCAATCTTTGGAGCAGTGTGTATGGAAAAAAACACTGATAAGAGGAGTCTCCACTACAGTGCCTGACAACACCCTGAGAAATTAATCTCTTACTGTTCGGGTGAGAGGATATTCTGGGCAACAAAAAAAAAAGTTTTATCATTTCACCAGCAGGTGTTGGTCTAGCAGAAGGAGCTAATATCTCATAACATAGTGAATCAAGGTTCGAATCCCTATTAAAAGATATGCCCACATTTGTGCCCGAGTCTCAAATAGAATTACCTCCAATAAGAAGATACCTATACTTTAGTAAAAAAAAAAATTCCATTATTTCAAATATTTTAATGTTACCGTATTCTCTACTAGTATTTATAGCTGAGAATGGTGACTTGTGTATTGGAAAATTATTTATGTTTCTCTGTTGTTTACGATTTATGATCAATATGGATTTCCATTGCACCTTAGTTATTTTTCGCTCAATGAGAAAATCATTTTTATTTTTATTATATTTTCAGCTAAATAGTATATACATATTTTTATTTTTTTAAAATTTTAAATAGAGTATATAATCTCAAAATGAGGCATTACAACAGCAAGCATAGAAAAGAGACGGCTATGAAGTGAGGTAGAATGTCATAATACAATAACGAAAACTGAACTAAAAAAGAAAAAGGAAATGTGGGCATATTGGCTACAATCTACCCTAATTGTTGGAAAATACTGTATCAAATCTAAACATATTTTCCCCTGTATTTAGGTTTTGGATCTCTACTGAGTTTGGAACCACCAGTGGGTGTTAACTGAGCATCAGCAGGACTGAAAACTGCAGAGTGAAGGTTACCATCTTCTAACCACTTTAGGTGGTTCTCCCTAAACTCAATATGTTTGATCCTGGCTGCCTCAGCAATTTCCTGTGTGTAAGGACCTGTCTTCACCATGGTCAACAAAACTCGGCTGTATCGGGAACTAAGAATCTGCTCGGAAGAAGAAATCAGTCTGAAACATGGGTGCTCAGGGAAATGGGTTTCCGCAGAATCGTCTTCCCTTAGCACAGGATAGAAGAACACAAGCCTGCCCCCAGGAACAAGCATCCGGGCAGCAAGATCAAGCAAATCATGCACGCATTCAACTAAACTGTAGGATGCGGTAGACGGTATGTGGTCTGTCCTTTTGTCATCAGGAACAATGTAAGGTTCCACCACCCCCTTGAGCAGTTTCCGGCCACCAGATTTGCGACCCCCAGCTCGAACTCCATAAGGAGGGTCACATATTATGGCATCAAATACCTATAATAGACAGCAAAGTTAAGAATGAACAGAGAAAGTATGTCAAAAACAACAAAGAAGAAGCTACCAAGACGAATTGAGCAAATGATGATAAAAAAAAAAAATCAAAAAAATTTTTTTGGGCTATTGCAAGTTAGTAAAGTCTTCAAAACCACTTGTTACAAATTAAGCTCCACAACGCGCTGGATAAATAGGTCGTGCTCATGTATTCTCTTTTACGCCCCTAAACTGTTTCCAATCTGAATTCCAGAGTTGGCCACTTCCTGCAACAAATCTCAGCTCCCAGACTGGGGCAACTGAGACTGAAAGTTGATGGGAAACTCTTTTTTTTCCTTTTTCACTGCAAAAAGCGACCTATCAAGAGCATGTCCATATTTTGTTAGAATTAATGGACCCAGTTCCTTCCTGGATCTAGTGCTTCTCACCATTTTGTTAGCGAACTTAACGTTTATCCTAATTGACAAATGCTTCATGTTCTGGTATTGCCTCCGAGCCATCTAATATTCTAATATAGGAAGCTGTTAGGCATTATTCTAATCTCATTAGAACCTAACCATTTTTGCCGGGTCACAGTAATTCTTGCCAATATGTCTTCTTCCATACAACATCTTACTAGGCAGGCTTTTCAAATTTCCAATATGGCATAGAGTTTGTATTGAATGCGGTAATGTCACTAAAAACCTTCTGGGTCAGGATCTATACATGATCAGCCCAATCCTTCTCCAATTTCAGAAAATATTATATATATATATATTTACATATCGAAAGTTGTAATCTTTTCTTACAAATCTCCCCATCTCTTGCCATGTAATTCTTCTATATGATCTCAATGCTTGAGCCTCTGCGCTAAAAGTCTATATCAACTTCCCAACAGAAAAATTGTTCCAGGTACAAATGCCAGAGGCCATATGATCTTTAGCAAGTACTAATAGAAAAAATTAGAGGATAGCAGAGACCACAACAATAGAAGAAAAATGTTATATCAATCGATAATTTACTACTTAAGATAAAAGGCACAAACAATCACAAAATATCAATTATCTTTATGACAGAATTGAGATATGATATCGATAAGCAGCCAAATAGGAGATTGGACAGAAAATTAATCACAAAGTTATCATATGAAGATATTATTTCAGAGACTTGCCTCTTTTAGCCCTGGACGCCAGGAAGGAAGGTTATTGTCGGCCCTTAATAGACCTATTGGCATAGGCAATCCGTACTGCAAAATGAACATTTAAGTTTATAAGGTGCATATCACATAGTTTCTTTTATTTAAGCATATTCAGACATTATGCATGTATGGTGCTGAATTCAACTAATCAAATGAACATAGGGTTACACAAACCAAATAATAATAGTGATAGTATCAAGCACATTTACCTGTTTAAAATTACTCCAAACATTACAGTCAGGTCCACGGCCATCACGTACTACCCTAATGTCAATGTCTGCACCCTAAAAAGTTGATATCATTCATGTTAAAGGTATTCTGCTGCACGCCAGCATAAATTTTAAGTATTCTAAGAGCAAACCATAAATAACAACAAAAAAAGTCACCCAAAGAAGAAGAAAGAGAAGCAGACCATGGTCATTGCTCCAAAATGGGCTGCAGCGACAAGAATGCTTCCAGTTCCAACAAAAGGATCATATATCAGTTTCCCCGGTGTAGCTAGTGCCTGGTTGGCCATTAGAAAAGCCATTTCAGCATCCATGGCTGTTGGCCCAAGATAAGTGCGGCTTTTCAACTGATATGTAGGTATAAGCTTCCTATCAGCACCACCAATTTCACGACCAAAGAAGATTCGCTTTTGGATAATTGGAGGGAGGCCATTATTAGATCCATAATCGTCAGTTTCCATTAGCCAGAAGTTGTGATCAGGATTTTTTAACTTCACTTGTCCCTGCAAATAAAATGACAGAGAAAGGATAAAATTTTGTCAGGTATATTCATTATAAATTGCTTGACTTCTTAAGCTAAAAAGTACATAAATCTTTAGGAAGCCCTTCACGCTAGCTCAAAACGGGAACCGTCATGGGGCTGAGTGAAACTGGGAAGGCTCAAGTACAACCAGATAAAATAGTTTTAAAAATTCAAAGAAACAGCGGTAAAAAAAAAAAGCTAGTTGATATTAAATAACGTAAAAATTGAATCTTCTCATACAAGAAATAGTGTAGTTTTCATAAACCAGATTAGGTAATATCATCTTTTACAAAATGGCAGTGCACATCAATGACTCAAGTAGCGTTTTAAAAGTTAACGATAATATATTACACCATCAAGGAGCAGTTAGCAGCCGGATACCATGTTACTACAAGAAGTTCTCTCACGCGGTATACTACTCAGCAATCAGACTCTTACAAAAGTGAGTCTCTACAAATTTCAGTTTTCCTACCACAAAGAAACTCAACTAACGCTATATAAATATATATATATATATATATATATATATATATATATAGGGATATGAAGAAACTGCATTGTTTAAAGGGGGCAAAAAACAAACCACTAAACCAAAAGATTGCACCAAAATTTCGATGCAAAGACAATCAAATTAAAGGAGACTCACCTTGAAAGGAATATATGAAAGCCCTTGAATAAGCTCCTTTTGCTGCTGGAGGCTAATGACTTTCCCAAAGCTATCAACGGTAATCTTGAAAGTGCTGTTAGAATCTAAGTACGGCAACTTCCGGTCATCCGGGTATTTCAAGATGGAATCCTTCAATTCCTCATAATTATCTCCTTCTCCCCACAGCTCATACATTCCCTTCACAAGTATACCTATAATTTCCCGCAAAAATAGAGGTCAAAACAAACCCACATAACTTATTCATAGCACAAAACTAAACCTTTTGAAACCCAGATCAAGTGCAATAGGAATAGAGCTGAAAAACCAAAACCCACTTCGGTTGGCAATGTTTCGAGCAACGTCTTCTGATGGAAGATCGACGAAATGGAAAGGAGAATCTTGGTGGTGGTGTAGAGGAAGTCTCCACTGCAAAGATTTGTTTTGGCCGCAGAACCCATAGCCATTTTGGTTCTCCCTAAAAGCTCCAAAAAGCTCTGCAAGTGATTCCACTTCGGGTTTTCTGTAATCCAATAATCTGTGATAGAATACACACAAATACCACATGGCTTCTTCGTTGTCGACCTCGTTTCTCAAGCACTTCTTGAGAGAGCTCGAGGCAGAGGAGTGGAAAATGAACAGACCCAAAGGAGGAAAAGATCTCCCAAAACCCAAAACCCTGTATTTTCATTTTTTTTCTTTTTGTTTTAATTTTGCATTACAAATTTAATTGGCAAATGATCCCTAAGATAATTAATTATATGAGAAAAATCAGCTACACACAAAAAAAAGTAAGTTGCACAAAAAGAAGATAGTTTACGCAAAACAATATCTGAATATAAGGGATTAGTTTGCATATAGGAAAGATAACTTGTATATATGAGAATTTCATTTACATAGAAGGAAATTGAATCGCACATCATACAAAGAAAGATTATTGTATACAAAAAAAGATAAATTGCATACAAAAAATGCTAAGTTGCACACAATAGAAGTTAAGTTGCACAAAATCCTCAATTAAATTTTTTATGAGGGATTTATCCCCAATTTTTTCTCATTTTTTTATCATAATACTACCTCTGGTTCTAATTATAAAAGCTATTGAGAAGATTAAGGAAATAAGTTAAGTTAGTTATTTGTAATAAATAAATGTTATCTTTTTTAAAATATCCTTACTAATCAAGTGTGTTAGCTAAAACTATAATTATTAGAAGGACTATTTTGAAAAAATTGCATAAATATGAGAGATAAAGTGGATTGAAATCTTATATTTAGGATCAAAATAAAAATTAAATAAAGTCTTATCTTAAAGACCAAAAGTAGTATAATAATATGAGATTTATAATTTTAGATCATATTATTATTATTATTATTTGATTTTTTGGTTGACCCACGGCATTCCGTACTCACTACTAGGAATCGAGAGCCTAGCTAGATATTTGACGAACCTCACTAATTGTCTCATGGTTTACATTATTATTATGGATTTTTCACTGATACAATTAATCTCTCAGTATTAAATTTTGTTTTATATATTCAAAAAAAAATTTCCCGTCTTCTTTCAAAAAAAATTCCTGTCCAAATTAGATATATTATTGAAGTGTTCAAGACGGCTGTATAATATTAATATATCAAAGCTAAAGCTACAACTTCCACAAATTCAACATTTTCTCCTTCAATTTGCCCCAAAAACCAAAAACAAAAAAAACAAAAGTCTCTTGACTGATATAAACATGAGAATCATTGAAAATTTGTCCGCTGCACAAAAGGACATGCTTTTTTGTACAAAAAAAAGGACTTGTTTTAAGTATTGTATGCTTTCTCCCATACTAACAAACTAACAAACTTCCTTCGTTGCATTCACACACAAATCACTTCTACAAAACATATCTTGTCAACACAAAGTCACTTAAAGAATAATTAATCCTTATTTTTTTTATATTTTTGTCTTTTTTTCGCAACCTCTAGTATGGATAAAGTTTAAAAAAATTCAATTTCAAATATATTTAATAAGTCAACTACCATTTTTTAATTCATGAATTAGTTAAGGGTTAAGGTGCCTCAACACTCCGAACTATTTTCCCACGTGTCCTAAGATAATTTTTGGTGCATCCACATCCCAGACTAACAGAAAAGTCTCATTTGATCGTTACCTTACTGACTCAGCTAAAGGTTGACCGAAAGATTCTACATGACAAACATGCAGGGGTCTGATGTGTATTATTTTGACTAAAATTTAATTTATTTCCTCTTCTTCTAACATTTATCTTCTACCAGTTTTTAAACTTAAAAAAAAACAAAAAGAAAAACCAACGATCCACCTCTTAAATCCTGGTACATGTACCACCCATTCAATCCCATCCTTGTCATTAACATTTTATTCCATTTCTTCCACCACTCCGATTTGAAACCACAACCGCCATCACGACACACTTCTGTCTCCGTCTCTATTAACTCATCATCCGACTCGCATTTGCTTTCCTCCTCGTAAAACACAGTAAACTTTCCCTTAGTCACTTCGTCAACATTGCCATCGCCTCTCGAGAAAACACCCGCCACCACCAGGCTCGTCTCGGGAGTTTTAGTCAAAATAATACACATCAGACGTCCATGTGTCCACCATGTATGATTTTTCGGTCAACCTTTAGCTGAATCAGCAAGGTAACGGTCAAATGAGACTTTTCTGTTAGCCTAGGATATGGACGCACCGTTTTAATTAGTTTGGGACACTGGATGCACTAAAAATTACTTTAGGACACTGGGGGTACTTGGAAAAATAGTTTGGGGTGCTGGGCACGCCTTAATTGGTCAAAAATAGTACACATCAGACCACTGCGTGTCCGCCACGTAGGATTTTTCGATCAACCTTTGACTGAGTCAGCAAGGTAACAGTCAAATTTAACTTTTCTGTTAGCCTGGAATATAGATGCACCGTTTTAATTAGTTTGGGACACTAGATGCACTGAAAATTACTTTAGGATACTGAGCGCACCTGGGAAAATAGTTTGACGTGCTGGGCGCGCCTTAACCCATTAGTTAAAAGTGATTTATATTATAAATTGGAGAAAGTAATTTCACTTTCAATCAGCCGAAATTGTTTGAACACATGTGAGGAAAGTCAAGAAAAAGTTTTGTGCTGAATTCTATGTAACAAAATACACTCTTCTAGTCCTATTTAATTTGTATTTTATAGAATCAAGAGAGAGTATTTTTTGTTCTTAATGTAAGTTAAAATGTCACATCATTAAATTTATTATATAAATGTATAATTTTATTTTTAATTTTTTCGTCCTTCATATTAAATAAGGTTAAAGTTGAAATCCTATTAAATTTTACCATAGAGTTAATAAAATTTAAATTTTTTTTAATTCTGATAAAACCTAAAGTGCTTTATAACATCAAAGGAGTAAATCTTAGTGCTATGGCGACATCACTAGGAGTCAGGCTTTTTTCCGGACATTATGGTTCTGCCATCTTCATATGCACACAAAAGGAGACCTACCAGGTGCGTATCTGAGGAGGACAGGACCACTTAACTTAGAGAGAACCCCAATCTTATCACTTGCATAGCATTCAAACTTTACACCAACTGAAAGTTCTGAAAGCCCTATCTGAGTTTGCCTTTGCGCCTATCAGATACAGTTCTACCTCTCATTGATGTCAAGGCCTCCATAATAATCTCCACAAGGGAAAAACACAAAAAAGGTTCCTTCACTATACTTTCAAGCATGAGAAGCACTTTAAATTTGCATCACTGAGAACTTGAGCATTGCTCAACAAAGATGATGTATAGAGAATACATTAAATGATGCTGAGATGTCTTGACAAAGGGAGTTCACTTTAACTGCATCTAAGCCACCAATGTGAAGCTAAAATATGATCTCAGATAAATAACTGGGGCAGGGAAGATGACAAGTATGATCAATTTAGGAGCACTATTTTTCACTTCTGTTGTCTAACAACATATATAAATTTCAACATTGCAAGTGCGTAAAAGGGAGAATAAAAATTAATGGACCCGAAGTTGATGTCACAATGAAAAAATTCATTATTTACAAAACTCTAAGGCTAAAGCCTCATGTACATGTTCTATGGCACTTACATAGTGGATGTGTGATTTGAAAAGCCGAAAAATTATGCTCTCTAATGGAGTGAAACATCCTTTTTGAAAAATGGCTCTTGGGAAATGTACATGGTCAAGAAATAGTAATCCCTTGAATCATCCAACAAAGTGAAATGAAAGCTTCCTTTGAAGAAAATCAGGTGATTTGCATAATCACACCAAGCAAAGTTGGACAATTCTTGATGGAAGAGAAAGGATATATACATCAACATAACCAGCATTGACACGTTTGGCAGAAGCAGTTCATCCAAATGTAATTTCTTGTTCTCTGGCAGTTTTGATCAATAACTATTCTTTCAACTTTGGCTTAACCAGACTAACTCTAGCCCAAGAACAGTTTGAGCCAGATTTCATCCTTATCCCCCTTCTCTTCCTAGAGACATTGGATTTTGAAGAACAAACTTTCAAATTATTGGACGGCAAATTAGGCACAGCATTCTTGGCAACCAAGTCAGGAGCTGAGGTTAGAGCAAGGGAAACTGATTTCTGCTCTTCAAAAGATTCTTCGGTTTTTCCAATGAACTGATCTCCGGCAGAAATTGTTTTCTTCATTCTGGAAAGAGAAGCAAATTTTGGATCGTAGATATTCAAGCCATTGGATGGCCTAGGCCCAAGCGTATTCAAATAATTTATAGAACTGGACTGCCCCACATTTTCATTGACAACCTTATCGATTCGAGCTCTCAATTTGTGAACTTCAGATTGTGCTGCTTCAATCTTTTCAAAGATGTTCCTCAAGGTTTTATCAGTATCATTATGGTCAAGAGAAGACAATAAATCATTCTCAACATGAGATAATATGCCGTCATTCCACTTGAACTCCTCATTACTCTCAAGACTCTGTGCTGTTATCAATGAAACAATGCAAGAAAGGTTAAAAACTAAATATAATGAAAATAATTTCTACCAAAATGTCACAATCTTCTGAGTGAACAGTGATACCTGGAAGGAAAACCTTGCAGAATACTATTTGACCTTTTTCATCCACAATTTAAATGTGAGTGTGTAGAATACTGTAAGTTTGGTACTCACCTTCAGCAACATCTTTGACATTTTTCAAACGTGCATGAGCAGCATTGTCCTTTGCTTCTGTAAAATAAGAGAAGAAAGTGGGGAAATTTGATTATGAAGGTCAAGACAATATGCAATGGAAACTGAACACTCAAACCAACCCAGAAACTTCATACCGCAATATGAGAGTATATAATGGTCAGATGTGTAAGATGCTAAATTACACGTCTCCTCAGCTCTCTTCCGCTTCTTCCTCTTCATTACTTTTTTCCCACAAATTCCCTTGAGTAGGGGTACTGACTTGGTATTACATCCATCTAATGTGAAGTTTGCTGACATAAGCTGCCTTCTATAATCATATGCTGCAAGCTCTTTTTCATATTTAAGTTTTTGAGACTGAAGTTGCTTCAGTTTTAATTCTATCCACTTACAGCGCCACCTCAGTGGGCGTATGAAACTCTTCCAATGACTGGTCAACTTCTTCCTTCTGAACATTTAATACAGTAAAACATGTAAATGATTGGTTATCTGATCAAACATATATCAACCAAAAGAATGTCATTTGAAGAAAAACAACCTGTATCAAGAGTTTAATCATGTCAGCAACTAAATTTAAAATCTTCACTTACAAGAAGGCCATCTTACATATAATGAATAGAAAATAATAAATCATTAAAAATATATTTTAGGACATAAAATTCCATATTGCAGCACCAAACCTATGGGGCTTTTTTACAGCATGATATGCAAACATAAGCTTTTACCAAAACTGTCACTGTTTATGATGAAAAAGAAATATTGATTATTAAATGAGATTAAGAAGAAATGGGAAAATTAAGTCCACATTCTGCAGCAACTAAGTCAAAAGTGTCAGTTGACCAAGTCCTATACAAAAGCGTTTGAATGTTACAAGTCGACAGGATATCCTCTTCCAAATGAATAGCATGTTAAGAAGGAAAAGCCTCTAAACTTTTAAGCTTACAAAGGCATTCTATACTATCCTATGTGGCACTCAACTATCACCAAATAAATTAATAGCATTAAATTATCACCTCACCAACAAGCATTCAGCGTCCAAGTGCACAAGCGAATCTTCTCACATCAAGGTATCAGTTATCTGTTAAGTAAACTATGTGCAACAGATGTAGTGACTAAAACAGGAAGAAGAATTTTGGTGTAGCTTCCATTTCGGAATCAAAGACACAAAAGAGAACAAAGTGTATGGTTTACCCAATCACCCAAGAATGGGGGAACTAAAATTGACTGATAGGGAGAATAATATTTTTGGATTAAAAGAGTTAGCATGCAGGATCAAATCCGTGATCTGGCACCAATAAGAGCGAGCAATATGCCGCCAGGCCATAATGCCATTGGCATAAGGAAAATAAATGTGAAAGAAGTAACCAGGACCAGGATAACACCAATCAGGGGAACAGATCCACAGAAGAACAAGCAAAGCAAGCATATCAAGCAAGCGCATAAAATACAATTAACTTAAATCAAGAAAATTTACATCGATCTGGGAACCACATTGTTTCAAACCCCAGATATCCTTCATCAAGTGGTTCCATTGCTAAGACAACCCCAATTGAACAAACTGTATGAAAAGAGGGTAATTAGATAGACAATACCACTTTTCTTACTTAAACGAAACCCTGAGTCCACAGATATAGTGAGGAATAAGTACATTAAAAGGATGTGATATGAAGTTCCTCTCTCTTTTCTCTCAGTTTTGTTTTCTTAGTTCCCGCAGACAAGACAAAGAAAATACTCCCTCCACTTTTAAATACAAGGTCCATTTGAAGATTTTGGTCTGGCCCTCAATATAAGGTCCCATTCTCTCCTCTCCCATATTAAATTTTTCTTTCCCATAATATTCCTATTCATTGGGATATTCTTATATTTGTGCATTAAATTTTAATCATTAAATAGAAGGGTTATTTTTGGAAAACATCACAAATTCTCTACATATTAATTACAAATAACCAACTCACCTACTTTTTTGGGATTCTATGAATTAGTTAAGATAACCTTACATTTCGGACCAGAGATAGTATGCATGAAAATATTAAAACTGAAACATGCCTTATTAGAGATGGCTCACAGTCTTTGAAAAACATGGATGAGAACGGATCGTTGGCATACATATATGATACCACTTCATCATCACTGAATGCTGAAGCATTATCTGTGCCAGATCCTGTATCGCCAAAAGAACTTGAACACTCAGGGGCATCATCACAAGCATCTCCCATTATCAAAGCCTCACTAGACTTTGTACACCCGGTTATATTAACTTCCACCTCCTCATTTCCTCCGGACAAAGTAATTTGTTCAATTGGCAATGCTTCCTTTCCATAAGCATTATCCTTGTAGTTAGTTCCAGGCTGCAGAACTTTTTGTCCTGAAAATGAAGAGACATGTATATTCTTCTCATCAACCCAATTTTCTAGGCCAGCTTCCAGCTTCAAACAGGGGCCCATCTAAGTAGACCATATAACCTAGCCGATCCTGAGATGCAAATCACAGGTTTTAATGAAGAAGTCAATAAATGCCGCAAATCTAGAATAAGAAAGAATATGCTTCAATTTGTCAAATTCTCAGCACTATCAGTCTAACATGACTAAAACCTTTTGGCTAGGATAGGAAAATTATGAAATTATAAAGAAACTCCCAGATGCAATAACCAGAGGCACAAGATTAACAACATGAAGGGATCTTTTTGAGATTGACATTCAATTCTTCCCTAAATAGTCTGTGTTCATGAAGAGTTAGGAAAAAGAAAGATAAAGAAAACCCCCTATTAGTCCCTAAACGCCGGTCTATGGTGTAAACAATTCCAGTTTCACTTTTCAGTAGTAGTTTACACACACACGGCTTTATACATAAAAAATAAAAATGTGATGAATTAACCAAATAGCATCTTCCGCACATTTTTCTTTGCCTTTCATGAAGAATCCAAAGAATGAAAACCTTTCATTTGAATTTCTCCCGTTATATGCATTAAAAACAAAAACTTGTTCAGTTTTCAGAATGGGGGCAAATCTGAAAAACAGAATTTAACAAATTCTCATGAATGCAAAAATATTCAACAAGCATAAAATTTAAATTCATGGTCCAAACTCATTTGCCCCCGTTTAGACAAAAGATGTCATCAGGGCTACAACCAAAGCCTGCCGAATTGGAACTTCAAAATCAGCACCCTATTTTCTGGGTCCCCTGTCAATTCCTTACTTATCAATGTTTTATTTCTCGATTTCGTATCATATGGTTTCTTTGGTTCTTGTGATTGGTTTCTATGGACGTACCTTGTAGGAGAGTTAACGCTCACCGTCGTCGTGAAATGCAATTGAGTGAAACTGGGGCAAAACTGAGAGCGCTCGAGCAAAGAGAGTATGACTGTAAATATGTGTTCAAAGTCAAAGAAAAGAAAGACATGGGTATTGGGCAAGTCTAAGGGGCGGGGAAACCAACAAAAGGAAAATCAGATCATCAAAAGAAAATTAGCTGCAGATTTGTGGATATGACAATCTGCAGTACTCTGATTTGATTTGTCTTATTATCGATCGCAACTCAACTCCTCTGCTTTGTTTGAGGGGCAAGCTTGTGCGTTAAGTTCCTATTTCCAAGCGTTTTAGTTTATCAAGAGGAAACTAATTATTCTGGCAATTTTTTTTTAAAAAAGAGGAAACTAACTGATTATTTACCAGAAAAAAGTAATTAAATCTTTTATGTATACTCAATTTAATTATTTATTATCAAATCAACACATAATAAATATATAGTTTTTTAATTAATATGCTAGTGTATATTTTTATAGATAAATAATTGATTATTTAATTAAATAATGTATTATATCATGGCATTGCTGAAAATTATATACTTATCCTGTTTTAATTGGATAGTATCTTATTTTGAATTGTTTCTTTGCTTACTTTTTGTTATTTTCACCCTTGTCATGTAGAGATATCTTTTTCCTCTCGTTGGTGAAAAAAAGGAGATATTTTTTTGTTTTTATATTATTAGATAAAATTAGAAAAAATGTGTCATTATCTATTATTGCTGGTGAAAAATATTTTTTTGTTGTTGGTTTGGTTAAAAAAGAAGGAAATATTCTTTCTATCTTTTTCTGACATAAGAAGATAAACATAAAATCTTTAGATTTGAGATTCAAATCAAATAAAGTTCAGTAAATTAGCCAGAAGAAAAGATGTTGACATGTTATAAGAGAAAGATAGCTAGCTTTGTCATGATTATTTCCACAGCTTGTGAACTGGAGGAGATCTTATTATGGCTTTAATTCTCTCCTTCAAAGACTATAGGGGTGTTTGGATAGAAACCAAACTATAGTTTCATAAGTACTTTTACGGATTACGAAGTAAATATGTGGAGGAGGTTATCTCGTTTTGCGGAAAAGTACTTCTGAAACCGCGATTTTGAAAATGCCAAACACTCCTTATGTATGTTCTGAGACTTGCAAATTGCAATACACGGTTCATCCATCATTCTCTTTTATGATTGTAAATGCTTATTTTTACTACCTCCGATTTTTAATATAAGATCTTGTTTGACTTTTATTTTAGTTCTAAATATAAGACTTCAATACATTTTTTTCTCATATTTATCTATTTTTTTCAAGATAGTCCTTCTAATAATGGTAATTCTAATTAATATATTTAATTAGCAAAGATATTTTAGAAAAGACAACACATATTTATTACAAATAACTAATTTAACTTATTTCCTTAATCTTCTCAAATTAGTTAATTGGTTCTTATAATTAGGACCGGGAGTAGTACTTAGGTTAGTTCAAATTATATGCACCAACTGATATAATCAATGTTATGTGTTGAATGTCTTGTGAGTGGTAACATGTATGAGAAAGTATATGATATAGTCACTAAATGGAAATTCTATCGCTAGTCAGCCATTACTAATCAATTAGTGACAGGCTTTCTTATGATAGAAAAAATTTTGTTACTCACTTTGTTGCTAATTTAAAATTTCGTTACTAAATTTTATTGTTAATTTGTTGTGTTTTTTTTAGTGTTAATTGCCAGTTTCAACAACAAGGGAAGGTGTGGTTCTCCATTTTTCTCCGAGAGCATCTACTTCTATAAAGTGATTTGCTTCCTTAACAAAACAAAATTAAAAAATTTAATAAAAATGAAAAAAAAAATAAGTATCAAATTTAAAAAAAAAAAAGCAGAGAACATACAAATGGATGGCATATATAATCTTAACATAAGAATAAAAATTAAGTTAAAGACTTCTAGCCATATAAAAATTAAAACGAAATAGTTATCAAAGAATAATTAAAAAAATAAATATAAAAGCTTCTTAGCAAATGGGTTATAGAAACGTTAGAAGCTTTTAGTCTCCGTCCACGCGATCTATTGGGCTTTCTATTTATTGTCAATACTAAAATTGTTAGACTTAGATTATAATTTTTTTGGGGTAACAATCAGTTATTTTCAAAATTAAACTTAATATATTATCATTTAAGAATATTTTATCAACATTTAAAATCTCAATGTTGTTATTTTTTTGTTAACAATTTCAGAATTAAAAGACTAAAAATATCTTTTTAAAATTAAGAAACTAAATTAAAAATTTTGAAAAAATTAAAGAACTAAATGAGTACCTCACCCATATATATTGTGAACATTAAAAACAAATCATATGATCATGATGTAACGGATTGTAAATAAATCATAACAGTCAAAAGTAGACTGTGTTAATAAAAAAGAAAAAAAAAAGCTAAAAAGTAAAGGTAAGTCCAAGTAAGACGCGCCCAAATAGTTTAAAATGCGTGGCAAACATAAATGATAAGAGGAATTAAACTAACTTTTCTTTTAAAAAAATTACTAAAGTAACAATCAAATTTAAAGCCTAAGATCCAACTCAAACATATACGAGAATCAATGGGTATTTCTAAACGAAAAAAAAATGAAGTCCTTCAATAAATATTGAAAATAAATAAATGATTATCCCTGCCCCTTATAATAGGAATGATAAACTCTTTGTATGATAATAAAATGATATTTCCATCTGGACATTGGGGTTGGAAGTTGTTGTTTTGTACCTTTAAATTTGCCTATTATTCACACTTTATACACACTAGTATAAAGGTCTTATATTTAAGACCGGAGGAGTATTTGATTTGTTTCCTCATCAATCAATCTCTTTAATTCGACCACAGAAAGCGAGTTTCTTATTGTCATAATATAATTCAAACTATCAAAATCTATACTAAGAGTCCCGGAAAATAATATCTATCCAACCAGTTCATGTGTCAAATCCAGAATTATTGAAGTGGAGCTTTTAACACACATTGAAACACAATGTGATCATCCAAGATTGCCCACAACAACCATATGCACGTACGTTCTTCTACGCCTTCCTTAAGATTCTCGGCTCTGTTAATTAGCATTAAAGAAATATGGTCAATTGATTTTCTACTGATGTTTGAGTGATAGCCTTATAAGAAACATATGCTTAATTGATTTTTGATTGAACTGAATTAAAATTTCAGTCTCTGATTGATCAATTGAATTATGAGTATTATAAAAATAAAAACATGATAGATAAAATGAATAGAAATCAAATAACTAGAGAAAAACGATTTGTTAAATAAAAACATGATACTAAAATATATTTTAAATAAATGATATTTTATATTATTGTTATAAAATATATAATTGTATAAATATAAAGTTGGTAGAAGCTAGAGTTCTATATACAGAGAGTGACAGACACAAATTTTGGAGCATGTGACATGCATGGGAATACCCATTTGGTGTGTTGTTTGAGTAACAATTAGGCAAAGGTAAATATGTTATTATTGCAGAAATATGCTAGAATTAGAGCCCGTTTGGCTCTGCGGTTAACGGGGTATAAGCTCCTTTTTCATAACCAGAAGCACGTTTTAAGATTTTATGGCGTTGGAATTGGCAGCGGGCGAATCTAACTTTTGGATAAAAAAGCCACAATAAGCTATAAGTATAAGTAAAAATTAGCTGCTTATGGCTTAACTTATAGCTTATAACTTATGACTTTTGAAACACAGAGAGAGAAATAGTTAAGAAATTTACTATTTTTTTTGTTCTTATTATAAGTCTCAAATAATTAATTTGCGAATAATGAAAAATTAGTTTAAAATAATAAATAAGTTAAAAATATTTTTTTTGTTTTTAAATATGCCCTCGTAATAAATGATAAAAAATAAAAAATGTATATGAGATCAGCAAGAGCTTATAAATAATTTAAAATTATTATATTATTTAATAAAAATCATACCTATTTTGGTAATTTTACAAACTAAGATTGCATATTCAACTATAATCCAAACAACTTCTTTTCACAAACTAATTTATAAAAGCCAATCCAAACATAAATCACATTACTTAATTTAACTTTTATCTAATCTAACTTTTTCAAAAATTAAATTAAAAATAAGTTACTTTTTCTATTGCCAATCGAACCAGGCCCTTAATCAA